TACTGTTTACATTCACACTACTGTTTACATTTGCACTACTGTTTATATTCATACTACTGTTTACATTCACACTACTGTTTACATTTGCACTACTGTTTATACTCACACTGCTGCTTATATTACACTACCGCTGATATACAAATATATTTTTTACTAGTCTTATAGCATATGTCACTTTACCTACACCAATATCAAGGACTTCATACATACACCGTGTACATTCACTTCATATGCTGCTTTGCCACTCACTACAAATATCAATGTCAGGACCTTCATTTCATTTCATTTTATTTTATAGATATACTTTTTAAAATATTTTTATACCGTATAGTACAATTTAAGACGGTATCATGCTTTTATTATTTTATTTTATGCTTATGTTTAATAAATGTTTTAATGTTAAATGGTTATTGTTGCACCGGGGTCTGAGAGAAATGTAATTTCAATCCTGTGTATGTCCTGTACATATTGCAGCTTTTGACAATAAAGTGACTTTGACTTTGACTTGACTAAATAAAGGTTGGATGAATGAATGAACTGCTAGAGTTGCTTGTTATTTCATCCACTGCAGTCTTTTTGATGTGATGAACTTTCTTAAGATTTGCACTACCACCATGTTGGAGCTCTTTTTTCTGTTGATACTTCTTGGTTTTGATCTGCATTGTCTTGCAAAGTGGGTGAACTTGCCGCATGCTCTACATTGTTTATTTTTAGCAGGGCACTCACCAGCATGGGGATAGATGCCTCCACAGTTCCTGCACTGATTGTTGAAATGCTGTTTAGCTGACCATCTGCGGTTCCTCTGATGCTTCTCAGGAGCTCTCTGATCCACTTCGTTGACTGTAGCTGCAGCACCTTTTTCGATGTCACCAGCTTGCATTTTTGACAGTTCAAGTGTTCGCCCAAGGTTAAGAAGTTCCTTCAAACTTAATTTTTCCTCCATCAATGCTTTCCTTCACAATTTAGCTGATGTACAGCTGTGTATGATCTGTGTTTTGATTTCAGTTTCCACATCTGCAAAGTCACAATTCT